CTGGCGTCAGCGATCCCCCGATGGGCTCTCTGTGTGTCGACTCATGCAAATGCAGCGCCGTGCTGCGTGGATATGCGGAGGTGGTTGCCATCGGGAACCCAAGAAGAAGCGACCCAAGTCCCACAGCCTTGTCCCACAAGGAGGTGGGGCATCGTGGTGAGCAAGGCTCCACAGATTCCAGAAAAAACGTGACAAAGAAATGCCTCCTTTTCTGTACGAAGGCGAGCTAAACAGCGGCCGTTGTGGGGCCTACCCTGTTCGAAGGGTGTGTACAGCCAAGGGAAGTGAAAACAGTACAGAGTCGAGTGGTGGCCCGAGAGGAGGCCGAGGGAAGGCCAAGGATGATGGCAAAAGAAGCGGGACGGACGGCTTGGGTAGAGCATCCAGGAGGAGCTAGAGGGGTAGTTTCAAGGGTCCATTCCATTCAATATGCGAGGCAAGAAAAGCACAGTGACGGATGTGCGAATCAATGCCTCGGAGGTGCCATAAAAACTCCATAAAAGTTGTCGACGGCGCCGTGCCCGGCCCCGTTTTCGCCAACACTGGAGGTGGATACGCGAGAATGGCGACGAAACAGCAACACGGCCTTGCATCTTGGAAAAAGCTACATCATCATGTCGTTTGCGCTGATAGGTTGACAGACAGATGGTTTGAACAGGGCCGCTAGTCCTCTTTTGCCGCAAAATGCATTTCGGTACTTGTGCCTCTGAGGGCCCCCCTATCGTAGTTCCATGTTGATATGTCTCGACCTCTCTTGCTCGGCTTAAGCGTGGTTGGAGAGTGGGAAATTGTGCGGCTTTTCCAAGCCAACAGGAACGCAAGGAAACTTGTAGATAACAGAACTAGCATCCTTGTCGTCATAGTAGGGTCAAGCCGGCCGCGAAAGGGACACCGGCCGTTTCGATTCTGCAGCGGCGAGGTTTCGGCGTCGGCCGTGAGCAGCGAAAAAAAAGGTCGAACAGAAAGGACGGTGACGAATGAAGGGAACCGGACGCCTCGCTGATAGCGACGCTGGCACCAACACTCGTCTCGATGAACTCACGATGGCCGTGCTATACAGGTGCCGTCTGGCTCATCAACGCCGTCATCGTACGTACCTGGCAAACAGGCCGAAGTGAAGGGGATGTCGGCCAGCAGTGGTGAATTCAAGCGATGGCAAGGGGCAGTGCGTGAGGTGGTGGCTACAGGGGGTCCACGGGTCCCTGGCAGGCAGAGACAGGCGGTGGGGGCTGGTGTGGTGTTGATGATGTGCGAACAGCCAATAAATTCCCCGGCATCTTGGCAGCCGCAAGCACATGTGAAGGAAGAGGCGTTTTTTTGCTGACGGGGTTGGGCTGGCGCTGCAGGATGCAGGGCGCATGGCGGCACGACGGGCGGCTTGGATCTGGTGTAACGGCGTCAAGCGATAGCCAGGACCCCAAACATGACCGAATGCCGTACCCTCGCAGCCATCTTCTCCCATAGCCACCGCACAACCCCTCAGCGCCCGAGCGGGCGGGCACGCAGGTAAGCAGGCAGACGTCTGCTGGTGTGCGCCATGTTGCTGCAGCATGAGGTCGTGATGCTGTAGGTGACAGTCACGCTTGGCTTGGCGGGTCTTGGGTTGGCTTTGAGATGCCCGCTCGATGCCGCTGGATATACCAAGCAATGTCCCTACCGGTGAGCAGTCCTCTGGTGTCCTTCGCCAGTACAGCCCGACTTGGATCTTGGCCAGGGTACATGTCGTAGCGCGGCTGGCGACTCATGCAGATGAGGGGTCTGACGTCTCAAAGATACCCAATAGCTGGTGCTGAACGCATGCTACCAGTGTTTCGCTCAGAGGAGACCCTTATCGAATGGCTCCCTGAATGCCCTTGATGCCGTCAGCCTTGATGGCATCCATCAGATCAGAGATGACGTTCCACAAAAGCGAGTACTCGTTGTACCTTGATTGCACGAGTCGTCGTTGTGCCAAGTCCTGCACGATGAAGGGTCCCACATGATGGGGTCCATCTATGCTCCGCTCTGACGTCACGGGTGAAAGGGGCCTGCCGCGGGGGCTTCTAACCAGTTAGAGGCCACCGTCCCAGGTTGCACCTGCAACCATGAACATGTCGTTAGCGCGTCGGTCCGAACGATTCACCGGGCAGGCGAGACGGAGGAACAGGGGTGCCACCAAAAAACTCGCCCTCATTCGCTCCTTCTTGAGGCAGCCCCAGGGGAAAAACTGCCCTTATTCGCTGCGTCTCCGTCTCACCGTGTCAAGTGTACCCCCCCGGCCGATCGCCGGGGCCGGTAGCCTTCGGGCAACGGACGTCGACCGCTCACACCAGCACCATAATTCTTCGTATCCTCAGCGCAGAATCCACGCTCCACGCGCTGACCCAGCAATCTGGCCTCCCCAGCATGTCACCGACGGAATACGACCTGACATTCGCCAGACCTGTCGCCATTGCCACCGCCTGTCGTGGAAAAACAGCACACGAGAGTGTGAGGGGGGGGGGGGGGAAGGAAAAAGCTGAGGCCCACGCACTCGGCACAGAAAATAACCCATCAAGTCACAGAGACAACAGGTTCATGATAGGCGCAATACAGATGCAAGAGTTCAGAAACAGCCATGTCAGACTTTGAGCACGCCCACCTATCCGTCAAGGTGTATGGTTGGATCACCCAGGCAGGCAGGCGGGCAGTCAACTGTGCGGGCATTTAGTGTGTCCTCTGCAACCCAAAACGTTTGGGTGCCCGGTTTTCCTGCTTGGCACATGGAACACCGGCTGACAGGTGAAAGTTGATCGACATCTCATCTTTGAACTTGACAGATTGACACCGATTGCCCCTCGGGACTTCCACCTCCAGCTTAATCTGGCGACTGGCAAGCCCGGGCACGTCGTAGTGGCTGCACACCGACAGCTCTCACAGCCCGCCGCCGACTCGATGTCTTGTCGATCAATCCTGAAAGGGAGGGCATCTTCAGGTGCCAGCTGCCGCCGTGGCATGCTTTTCTTCCAGGATTGTGAGGAGCGCCTTTCGCTAGGCACGCTTGCCGCCGGCCATTCTTCGAGTGGGCGCACCGACCGCATCCGTCTTAGAAAATGATGACCTCCTGATCGACCTAGCTGCCGCTTTCCGGGTCGCCAGGCCGAAAAATCACGACATTCTACCTTTTGCTAGCTGTGTCAACTTGAGCTACGCCATCGGGCATCCACGCCGAGCGTCCCCGTCCTGCATGCCCAGTTCAATGTGGTAATGGCGTTTTCGGTGCGCGTCGACGACGTCTCTCATCACACCGTTGTTCCTATCCTTCCAGCCGGTTCGTCTGAAGCATGTTGCTTCAGTATTGACTCTCCCTTATCGCAACCACGACGACAAATCGCGCTGGTTTTGGGGTACCCGCGCCTTCCCCTGCACCCCAGCAACGACCATGTTGAAATCAGCAGCTTTGACCGTCATCAACCCTGGGCACACTACAGACGTCTATCAAAGCGCGCAATACACGAAAAGATACATGGCTACCGGTCGCCTCGAACGCACTCCACCACAGTCCACAGAAGCCCACACTATATACTACAAAGTATGGGCCTCGGACGAGCAATCAGGTCGTCTCGTCTTAAACTGGAGCAAGCCTAGAACCTCCACGATCGAGACATGTGGGTAAACTACCCACACCGAAAAGAGAGGAGGGGATTGTGACCGATAGAGGAGGGGAAAGTAACTGGCGAAACCGCGCAAGGTGGGTTTCACCTCGGCTGCCTCCCCTTGATGGACGGGGTAGACGGGGTAGGCATGGTGGTGGGCACGACGCAGAACTCCAATGCAAATGAGCGAAGAGACAGAGAGGGTGGGAGGCAGCCGATGACCTCGAGGGCCATGAGCGACCGCTGTTTGCTCGTCGAATGTCGGCGGTCTCCGATCCTTTCCTTCTTTCCGATGTGAGACTGTAGAGGTCAACGACCAAGGGTCTACACTCTAGGATCGGTTGCGGGCACCTCAGAACCTCAAAAACTTAGCTCAGTCTTCTCCTCCTGAGCTGTAGTGATTCGGGCTTTGCAAAGTTAGTGTCGACGCGCAAAAGTCCGCGGCACGCTCACATGGAATCGCAAGATCACTCCAGACCTCATCCACAACAACACGTAGTTGGCGGTGTCTGTTGCCAAGCTGTATCACTGCCAAAGGCGTGACGAATGTTCACCCGCATGTCCTGGGCACGATAAACCCCAGCGAACCCACATTCAGGAGGCGCATACTCACCATGCAAATCATCGTGTCGTCGCATGCCCCCCTCCTCTTCACGAGAACCGTCCCCTCCTTTTCCCCGCCTTTCTTGGCCCAGCACAACGCAACGGCCTTTTCAGAGAAGCGCGGACCATCCACAATTAAATTCGCCGGGTTTCCTCTTTGCGCAGTTCCGGGTGGCATTATTGGACGACTTCTTGGGTTCGCGCGATGGGGTCGGCCCCAAACGAACCGAAATGTTACGGATCCTTGTGATGCAATCTTGCCGTTAAGTTGATGTTGCGGATCGCGGAGTGGCGCTCTCTGCACAAGTACTACTGTAGTTCAAAAAATCCGCGTTGGCGCGGCTGACTTGTCGCACGGGCGGCATCGCTGAGTCAACAGGGAGACACTGTAGCCTCTTGAGGCATTCGTCTCGCATCGATCATGGACACATCTACGGGTTGGGCCTGACTGAGTTTGAAGATTTTGGATGCGGCGAGGCCTTGTTTAAGGCGCAGCCAGGCCCCCCACAATTGAAGAGTTGTACGTCGATGGTGTGGATGGAATGTCGCGTCTGACGTTCAAGACCGAATCATTCATCTGCTATCAACACCTGGTCCATGGGTGATGGAGGAGCGGTATCATGAATGGGATGGGCGCTGTATACTTGTCCAAGGTGGCTTACCTCAGCAAGCCGGCTTCTAGAATGTGGATACCGCAGGCCCATCATGATTGGTACATGATGCTCTTGTTTCAGAGATCATATCCGCGCACAACCGCCTTTCTTTCAACAAGCACAGTAGCGAGTTTCGATAGCTCAGGGGTAGAGCAATCGGCTGCAGTCCGATAGGTCAGGCGTTCAAATCGCCTTCGAAACTTCATTTTTTGCCTTTTCTCTCATGATCTCTCAATCACGCAGAATCTTGGCAAATTTATGGGAGCGACTTTTCGCTGACTACACACATGAGCACAGATATTCCCCGTGACGCGGCCGTTGCTGTATCTAGGTAGACGACTAGGTTCATGATATGGTAGACAGTTGATATTCTGCGGTAGGAGATGTCACATCGCGCGGAGTGATGTGTCTAAGATCAGTTTTGAATTGTCTCAACAGAACCTGTTTCTTCCTTGCGAGTCTCGTTCTTGTAGCATGGCATAGCATGGTACTTGCGCTCTGTTGCAAAAGTTGATCGCCGCATGTGGGAGCTCACGACCCTTTCCGTCATGTATACACGGCAAAACAGACGGTTCTCTACATCGTCAGGGCATGTGGTTGCCCGTAGCCACTGTCATCGCGGCTTCTTGAGTATGTTGATCTGACGTGGTGAGTCTTCCGGCCAGTCAGTGCCGAACTCTTTGTCCAGTTCAATGATATTTCTGTCGTATATCTAACCGTGCTCACTCTGTTCATCGCCATGCATCACTGAGATGTCACGTCCACGGCTTGAGGTCATTGTGGTCAATGTGATCAAGTAGCCACGCGTTGTTGATTTCTGAAAGGACTGTCTAAAAGGGTTGGTCTCACGATGTCAAAAAGATCGTAGTGTTGTGTTGCGACTGATTTCCCACGCTTATAACCTCCAGGCAAAGCGTCGTTAAGACGAGACTGCCAGGCCGTGTGGCTAGCATACTGACCGATATACTCCCTGAGAACGAGGCAGCCAAGAAACATCCATCTCAAATAGCGCAAGTAACGGCACGGAGCGGGTCTGGGTACCCTATGGACGAGTTACACACAGATTCAATAAGCCGCATGAGAACTTCGCTTCAGTTGGGATTCTTTCTGCAAACGGCTGTATCCCAGCATATCGATCAAGGTTTAGTCAGAGACCTTCATCTCGACAAGAGCACTACTGCCATAGTGGTGGAGCAATAGTCGCATGTTTTGTGCCTGGCGAAAGAAGCAGCCGCTGACGAGCCAAAACCGTGAAATGGCCCATCCAGCTCCGGTATTGCGGAACACAATGCAGACGAACACACCAGGAACAACACACCCAACAGACATATCGATCGAAAGGGAGCACACAAAGCTCATGTCTCATTTGGACCAGGACTCTCGAGTGGATGGCTGAGATCAAGGTCGTGTCATATATACGCAAATCCGGGGGAGCCATCGTCCACCCCACGCCTTGGTGCCCGCTTTGTGCGGTGGCACCTAGCATGTCTTCTGAGCGACACGTGCAGCTACGACCGTCCTGCACATCCCGTTTGTGTCCTCTCACCGCCCTCAGGCCGCAGAGCACACCACGCCAGCCCGTATACAGATCTCTCCAGTCCTTCAACGCCCGCTACATGCCCCCCACCCCCTTCACTGCAGGTTCACAAACAGGCCGCCGTCCACGAGCAGCTGCGCACCGGTGACGTAGCCGCTCAGCTCATCGCAGGCGAGGAAGACGGCGGGGCCGGCCAGGTCATGAGGCACGCCGGTGCGGCCGAGGGGGATGCGGCCCTCCATGTAGGTGCGCTTGGCGTCGTCGTTGAGGTCGTCCTCGTTGAGCTGGGTCTTGATGGTGCCGGGCAGCAGGGCGTTGCAACGGATGCCGTGCTTGCCGAGGGCGACGGCGGTGCTCTGCATGAGGGACAGCACGCCGGCCTTGGTGGGGGTGTAGTGCGTCTGCAGGCCGCCGCCGACGAGGGCCGAGATGGACGAGACGCCGATGATGCTGCCGCCGGGCGGCGACTGGGCGGCCATCTGGCGCGCCGCGGCCTGGACAAAGTAAAAGGCGCCGTCGAGGTTCGTGCGCACCGTCCGCGTGAAGAGGTCGGGCGTCAGGTCGAGGAACTCGGCAAACGTGCAGATGCCGGCGTTGGACACGCAAATGTCGAGGCGCCCGTTGCCCGCGTGCTGCACGGCCAGCTCGACCGTCGCCGCCGCCGTCGCCGGCTCGCGGATGTCGCCTGTCAGGTGTGCGAGGCGGCCTGGCGCCGACGCGGCCTCGGCGATGAGCGAGTCGAGGTGAGGCTGGTCCTTCTCGAGGCCGAGGTGGTTGACGACAACGTTGGCACCCTGGCGGAGGTACTCGAGGGCAATGGCACGGCCAATGCCCGTTGTGCCGCCCGAGATGATGGCAGTCTTGCCGACGAGAAGGTTTGTAGGCGCCATGGCGGTTGTGTGTGTGTGTGTGTGTGTGGGATGCTTCAGGTGCCTGAAGCTGGATTCTCGGTCTGGAGGAGGGGTCACCGAGGGGTCGTGAGAATAGGAGGGGCAAAACAGCAGGGGCAGCAGCGAGTGAGGGGTCGTGACTGCTGAGTGTGATAGAGAAGCAGTGTGACGATCAGACCAATCAGTCGGCAGAAAATATGAACTGGCCAGAACAAGAGTCGGTCAAAGCTGAGGAGGATGAGGAAACGGAGATGGAGCAGATACGATGGCAGGAGAGCAAAATATCATGATGGAGCGAGACGGAGTGTATGGACAGCCTATTTAACACACAAATACAGGAAGGGATCCGCCGAGGCGTGACAGCCGCCCTGAATCCCGTGAGCAAAAACTGCCTACAGGTACCCTTACGTGGGCACCTTGAGGTACCTACCTACTTTCCGTGCCTTGTAGCGGCACTCCTCCATCTGTCCGCCTCTCTTCATGCCCGCTCGTCTGTAAGTGCTTCCCCCTCTTCTTCTCACGTCTTCCTCTCTCCGTCTCTGCTGCTCGCCCACGCCAACGCAACTCGGTCCCCGGGTTGGAGGCTCCCAGACCTTAAAGGCCCAAGAGGGTCCCCGCCAGGGCACTGTCCAGTGGAACCCACTCCCCTGGGCCCCCTTGGCAGGCTTCCCTGACGGGGTTTGCCAGCAGCGAGCGCAAAGGGGGGGCGGATCCACTGGATGGGGTCCCCTAGACTGCCCCGCGTCGCCCCGCGCTTCGGGCGCAATTGCAGCGAGACGCAACTTTGCGCGGATGGCGGGCCCCGAAAATTGAACAGCGGGCACACAATCACCGATCATGACACCAGAGAGCCACGAATGCAATGCTGTTTCGGAATCGTCGTCCGACAAATGGCATTCGGCCTGCAGGGTCCGCAGAGGACAGCGTCGCATCGATGCAGCTGTTTCATCTTGCGTGATTGGTGGGCTTGGAGTGATATGACACCATTTTCTACAGTACAGTCAGTACACAACCGAGCATGCATCTATTTCATGATGATCGATCATCGGCAAGTGAGTGAGCGGCAGATGCAGGCGTGAGGGCTAGCGCGCTACGGCAATGAGCCTGAGATCGTGTTCATCGTGTTTATTCCAACGTGCACCCCTTGTCCTCGCAATCGAGGCAAAATTAATGCTGCGTGATGCTAAACTTGAAATTCATTCTCTACTCCAAAATTGGTATTCGTCTACATCATTTCATTCCCAAGCCCGTACCCGATTTGTACAAACCGCACTCGCATGCATGCACGACTCTTCTTCCATTCGTCTAGTTCGTCGCCACGGGCTCGGCGCTGCCCGTCGTCAGCTCCTGCACCTTGGCCGTAATGTCGTGGACGATGCCGTTGACGCCGTTGGTGGTGGTGCCGTTGACTCCGTTGGTCTTGGCCTCCTCGACGGGGGCGGCGACGGCAGCGGCGGGCGCCGCCTCCTCCTTGGGAGCCTCGACGGCCTTGGGGGCCTCGACCTCAGGTGCGGCGGGCGTCAGGGCGGCGACGGGCGCCGGGTTGAGCCACCTGTCGGCGGAGATGAGCTTGGAGCGGGCGGCGGGGTTGAGCGTCAGGCCGAAGCCGGGCTTGTCGAGGTCGGCAGCCGTGAGGAAACCCTTGTTGGGGATGGGCTCGTCGAGGAAGAGGTCGCCAAAGACGGGCAGCACGCTCTTGCCGTCGGGCGAGTTGGCGAGGTACTCCTGGAAGGGCGTGTTGGGCTGCGACAGGACAAAGTGGTAGCTGTAAGGGCCGCTGGCGTGGGGCACAACGGGAATGTCGTAGGCGGCAGCCATGGCCGACACCTTGAGCAGCTCGGTCAGGCCACCGAGCCACATGACATCGGGCTGGATGATGTCGAGGTTGCGGCCCTCGACGAGCTTGCGGAAGCCGTAGCGCGAGTACTCGTGCTCGCCTGTCGTGAACTTCTTGGTGGGGTGGGCGCGCTTGATCAGCTCAAAGCCGTCCGTGTCATCGGGCGACAGGCACTCCTCCCACCAGTTGATGTTGATGTCCTCGCAGGCCTTGGCGAGCTCGATGATGTAGGACACGTTGAGCGACATGTAGCAGTCGACCATGAGGGGGAAGTCGGGGCCGACGCTCTCGCGCATGGCGCGCAGGTACTCGACGTTCTTCTTGAGGCCAATGTGGCCCTCGTCGGGGCAGTAGGGCAGGGCGACCTTGGCACCCCAGAAGCCCATGGCCTTGGCGGCGGGCGGGTTGGGGCCGGTGCAGTAGAAGTCCATGCGGTCCTTGGTGGCACCACCGATGAGCTTGTAGACGGGCTCGTTCCTCAGCTTGCCGAGGAGATCCCAAAGGGCGAGGTCGATGACGGAGATGATGGCAATCGGGAGACCCTTGCGTCCGTAGAACATGGAGGATCGGTACATCTGCTCGAAGAGGAGGTTGGTGTCGCGGGGGTCGGCGCCGATGAGGAAGCGCTCAAAGTGCTGGTGGACGAGCCAGCAGGCCGGGGGGCCACCGAAGCCCGTGGCGAAGCCGACGGTGCCGTCGGTGGCCTCAATCTCGACGAAGAAGGAGCCGAGGACGTTGATGCCCCAGCTGGTACGGGACTTGCGGTACTTCTCCCATCGCGAAGAGGGGGTCGAGATGGGCGAGTCGATCAGCCTGTATCGGTGGGCGCCTCGTTAGCCTTTTTCCTTCCTTCTTTGTTCTCTCTTCTCGACGTTCTTCGGTTCTTGCCCGTCTCTCTCGCTTGTTCTCCCAATGGGCCGGAGGTCCGCCAACGCTTGGCACCCTGGGCATTGGAGAACCAGGCCATCCAGAGAGCAGCTTCGTTCTTCACCCAGGAATGCAGCAGATCGGGCTCAGAAGGGAAGAATGGATCAAACTCACCAGTGACCACCCTTGACGTTGTGGTAATCGCCTCCAGCACCGACGCCGTCAATGACATAGGACCGAACGGCCTTGATGGTGGGGAACTGCCTGACGCCGGACGCCATTGTGTCACAGTTTCGATGTTGTGTGATAGGAAGAAAGAGAGAGAGAGAGGTCGGGTGGGTTGACGGTGATGATGCGATGAGGGGTCGCTTCACACGTTGGAGATGGGGGGAGGAGGGGTGAAGGAGGAAGAGGAAAGAGGGTGAGGAAGGGACAGGAATATAGTCGAGTCAAGAGGTGGGAGCAGAAGGGGGTTATCAATGGACGGCCGTGACGGCACAGTGGTGCGGTCGAGGGTCGGCGTAAGCCTACCGTCGGGGATTCTCTCTGCTCTGGCCGATCCAGGGCAGGTACGCACCCACGGCGGGCGCGGCGGGCGGCACCTACAATAGGCAGTA